AGGCCAATTACAGGAATCAATCAAGTATTACGAAAAAGCACAGACCATTTACACAGCTGCGTACGGTGAAAATCATAGATCGGTAGGTAATACCTTGAACAACTTAGGAGTTGTGTATCGAGAACTAGGCCAATTACAGAAATCAATAAAGTATTACGAAAAAGTACTGACCATCTACATAGCTGCGTACGGGGAAAATCATACATCGGTAGGTGATACCTTGTACAACTTAGGCATTGTATATGGAGAACTAGGCCAATTACAGAAATCAATAAAGTATTACGAAAAAGCACTGACCATCTACACAGCTGCGTACGGGGAAAATCATACATCGGTAGGTGATACCTTGAACAACTTAGGCATTGTATATCAAGAACTACGCCGATTACAGGAATCAATCAAGTATTACGAAAAAGAACAGACCATCAAAACAGCTGCGACTGAGAGCAACTTGTTCGTGAACAACAACACTGATGACGACAATCACGCCCATCCTTTACAAGCACAAAGTAACTTTGATGTTCTTGAAATCGAYAATGAATCGTTTCACGAAGGATCGAAATGTMGAAAGTGTTGTTGTATGATTATATAATGATAAACAATTTAAACAAAAATCTATCGAGACGAAATTATACATTGCTGGGAGTTTTGTATCTGAAGCTTTTTTCGATTTGCGTACTTAGTTTAATCACTTTGCTGATCGTATTAAGAATGGTTTAATTCACATTAAAAGCGTTCTGGGTTAGGCTGCTTATCAGTGAATCGACGACTGATTTATGTCGGTGTACGAAACAAAAATAAGAAAAATGAAAATAACTAGAAGCAAACAAAAAACGATACAATAAGAAAAGAAAAATAGAAATTAGGAATAGAGGGTTGCATCTGGCCCAGTTCCATATAAATTTAGTTGTTTTAAAAGTCTAGTTTTACAAACCCGTGAAACTCAATATAGTATATATTATGTAGAATCAAAGCCCTAAATCTGTGAAACATAGAAAGATAAGTACAAAAGATAGGTATTTGCTCGATTGCAAACACTGTGATCATGGAAAATGTAATTAAATAGTACTAAATTAAACCGAATTATACGATTTTCTTTGTTTTCCATTGACTAATCAACATTATATTGTGCTATTTAGCACTATTTTGAGAGTCGTTTTTCATGGTTTAGTTTTAGATTTCTAGACTGAAGTCAAAAACCCGTGAAATGGATAATGATTAACACACCTTAGTACGCAATAATTGCATTGTTTTCTGTTGTGTCTATTTGACAATCACATTTGAATAGTCAAGTTTTGTTTCACTCGATCACTTTTTGATTACTTAGTTAATCAAGACAATATTTTAGTAGTAAATGCATACAGTTTGTACAGTATCTAGGAGTGTGAAAGCCAGTCTAAGTACATTTGAGTCATTTTTATTCGTCTGTGAAACAATTACTACTAGTTAGTGTTTAATAGTAACTATTAAGGTGTAGTAGGCTACCAAAAGGCAAAATCAAAACTGTGTTTGCCTAATTAGTTTCTCGAATGTCACATAAG